ATGTCTGGAGGCATCACGGAACCCCCGAGAAGTACATTTCGGACCGTGACTCGCAGTTCATCGCTGACTTCACGCGCGAACTCTGGCGCTTAATTGGCGTCAAGCCGGCTACCTCTACGGCTTACCACCCGCAAACCGACGGACAAACCGAACGCGTTAACCAAGAGCTCGAGCAGTACATCCGGATCTTGACCAACTACCAACAAGACGACTGGGACGAGCTTATCCCTGCTGCTGAGTTCGCCTATAACAACCACGTTCACTCCTCCACTCAACAGGTACCCTTTATGACGGACACTGGCCGGCTCCCCCGAATGGGTTTCGAGCCAGGCGCCCGCTCAGAGTTGGAGTCAGTAAATGAGTTTCGCGATCGGATAGCTAACGGCGTCTCCGAGGCAAAGGCCGCACTCGTTAAAGCCAAAAACGAGTATAAACGGTACTACGATCGGAAACGTTCGGACGCTCCGAATATTCAAGTTGGTGATAAGGTTTGGCTGGACGCTTCTGACATCAGAACGACTCGGCCCTCCGAGAAGTTCTCCCACAAGCGCCTCGGACCGTTCAAGGTGCTCGCAGAGGTTAGCAAAGGTGCCTACAAGCTCGACCTCCCCCCGCGTTACTCCAAGCTCCACCCCGTCTTCCCCGTTGTTAAGCTTGAGCCTGCTCAGGACGACCCCTTCGATGGACGACCTGGCTATGACGAACCGCCCCCCGAACTAGAGGACGGAGTCCCCGAATGGGAAGTCGAGGAAATCTTGGATGCCAGGATAAGGTATAAGCGACTTAACTATTTCGTCAGGTGGAAAGGCTACGATGCTTCACATGACTCGTGGGTTCGGTTCGACCGTGTCTTTGCGCCAGACAAGATTGCGGACTTCTATCGGAGATACCCGGGTAAACAACGGCACATTGCCTCAGCGACCTTCAACTCCTTGCCCTTTCGAACTATGCGTCGGGACGCCGCATTCAAAGGGGGGGGGTGATGTCAGGGGAACCCCCGCTTCGGCCTCCTTCGGACCCTCCGAACGCATCCGAGGCGCATCCGGCCGGCGCCCCCTCGGACGCTCCGACCCACCCTGACCATCGTCCACGGCCTCCTTCGCCCGCACAATCACCGATCCGTCAAGACCCTCCCAACGATCACCTTGGGACAGAGCCTGCGACGCCGCTCAGGCCTTCTGCGCTCTACGTCGGCAGTTACGGACGACCAGTATATAGTTGGCGCCCTAGCAGGCGGACCCTTAGAGTTTCTTCTCTTTGGATCCTCCCCTGCTAGGTCGGTCCCTCCGTGTATTTCCCGTAGCTTTTATTCATGCTTTGGATCCTCCCCTGCTAGGCTTTCGTCGGAGTCTCCAGGGTTGCCCTTACAATTATATCTACCTCTATATATGACATGTCTGATATCACAACAATATCCTAATAACTCATATAGACAATGGGATAAGGGTGGGAACTATGAGGAGAGGTCCCCCTTGACGTGCTTGCTTACCAAACAAGCAAGAGACTAAAATGGCAAGTGCTTCCCAACTGCTTCACTGCTCCAAAGGAAACAGCTCAATAAATCCAGAGAGGCAGAGGGATGGACAGAGGACAGAAGTGGACAAAAGTGGGAGAATGACTATTCTGAATTTCTGGAGAAAACTAGACTACTACAGGCTTTTTATACTAAAAGCTATAGGAGCTAATGAATATAAGGAACAGGAACTAGGGACTAAAAGGAACATATGTGCCGGAGTGGTCCTGGAAGGACAGCACATCTGACGGATCAATGATGACTAAGTGATGCTGACAATGATGCTGATGAGGCTGGAGGCTCGTCACCCTATGAGATTATATTTGTCACACCACATTATATACATGGAAGATCTTGTCATTTCTCATCATAATAATGAATGATACCGTGCAATACAGCTGTAATCTGTACTGACCCATACCCATACCTACACGGGTTGAGCCTACCGGTGCAGTTGCCTGAATCCATCAGTTTTGTACCCTATGGTGTTATTTCCCTATACTAGTTGTAAAAGCCAAGACATTCTCTTTTGCACTCTGGGTACCTACCCCCTCTTCAGCTACCTTCTGTAACATGTGCCAGTACCATTTAGAATACAAGCAAATAGTCTCATTTTCCCATTTGATCATAATCACAAGTGCCAACGAGCTGGTAGAGGTACATCACAAGCTCTTAGACTTTGCCACATCTCCCAGTCTTCCTGGGTGATCAAGCCACGAGAAACTCTTGCACGAAAGCTATAGATCTTCCATGCTCTTTCTTCTTCCTCAATACTAACTCTTCCAAAAGGATACTGATGTGCCAGATCATCTGTCCACCCTTCTTCATAAGCCGGGAAGTTGTAATAATTATCCTTGTTCTCAAGGATACGAGAGTACCATTCATTTTTCCAATCTCCAACAACTAAGGAAGCGTAAGCACTTCAATCTGTTCTATTAAAGAATACATACAGCGAGCATTCTGTGGTAAAGTTACTTTCTGTTGACAAACAACACAGCGCTCATTGGTTGCTGGGCGAGCTTCTGACAGAAGTCGGAGGCTATTGAAATCTGCAGACAGTAGAATCTCTTCCCGGTGATATCCAGGACAACAATGAAGCTTTTCTCCTCTGTCAGGTCGCTCATGATGCTTGAATTGGAGTACATATGGATATGTTTTATATTCTTGGCCAGAATGCACCAGATATTGCAAAACAGAGATTTGATGGAGAAGATACTGCTGGATCAAGTTGATTGTATAGTTATTAGAGCTGATAGCCCATTCAATTGTACGCCGCAGTGCTGAGCGTGGATGGGAGTGACTAGGAGGGAAAGATAATAGTGGCCCAGGCTCCTCTCGGTGAAATGACACAACAAAGGAGTCAAATTCTTTTCCATGTATTGTTACTTGATCTCCTGCATAACCAAGACATTGTTCCTCAGTGCAATACTCAGGAGGATAAATTATGCAGCTTACCATATGTAGCTAGGTGTCCCTGTCGAAAGACCTATTGTACAGAATGTAAGACTAAAATTACTCAAGGAAAAAATGCATGACACACTCTCTGAAGAATATCATCATACATTAGAACCTCAGGACGGCGACTGGTAATGGCCCGTCGGCGATAGTGCCAAAGCTTATGGAGATCATTTGCTCCTGTTGTTAGAGCAAGTTGCACTTTGCCATGAGAATTGATAAGAACATCAATATTCTAATTATAGACTATGAGCTCTATGCATGGAAAGATTAATGTAATCAGCTTACTGCAGGACAAAGGTTAGCAAAAACATAATCTTTTGTGCTAAAATAACCAATAGCAGACTATGAATATATCAGATTAATCACAACAATGGCATAACCAAATACTGCAATATCATGTGCCTGCAAGTGATAAACTAGTGAGAGGCACATCAGCTAAGTTCTAACTGGAACCCACCAGACTGCATGATAGGATCAAGGTTTCCTCTAGGCCAAGTCGAAGAAATGAGGCAATCTTGTGAGCTGCATTCATTCTTATATCTTGAGACTTCTTAGTCATGCCAAGGCAGATAATCCACACAACACATACCTCCTTGGTATATAATAAAGGTATCTGGGGACTTCTTTGAAGATGCTGCAATGATTTTGAGATGGTTAGCATGGCTTTGAGTGTGCTTTTAGTAAGGAACCCTATTGACAAGATCCAACAACTCACAACACTCCTGCATTAAACTGTATATCATGTTTGCGACGCTGACAAAATATCAGTTCTCATTACTTTACATATATCTGGAGGCTCAGTACCTTGACAGCATGAGGGCCATCATAAACCCTGACAACCGCGGTTCGCCCATCAAAATTTGCCCAATGAAGACGTGTGTGTTTGCGAATAACAATCTCCTTGAGCAGTTCGACCCTTGCTGTGTCCACCTCCTTGCTCCACATATGATATTAAGCTTATTGTGGAATAGTGAAACATACCTCAATTTGTGTTTTCTTATCTGTAAATATATCAGACAACATCTGGCATAGGATGAGAAAAAAAAATTCAAACCAATCTTGGGCTCATGTGGCCGAGTCCCAAAAAAGCGTCGATTGTCGATGATAAATGTCCCACCAGTAACCGTGATATTTTTGCTGTGTGAAAAGAAAGATTGCTTAGTTCCTCCGCTACTGAGTGCTGGTTAACAGGCAGGACACAGGAGACATCCATCGAGGTCATCTACATACAGGAGTGAGCGAGGAATCGTCCAACGCTTTGCATCCTCCCGTGATTTGAACTTCAGCGGTGGTATGAACAGATAGGTTTTATAGCGGTCGGGGTCAAAGTGTTGTTGGAAGGACACGGGCAAGGGCATGGAAGGAGAGGTCAAGGGAGATGAGGCCGCGTGGAAGAAGCCCCGGAAGCTTTCCTAACCTACCTATCCGCGGTCAATTCATATTGACCGGCTGGCAGCCAGATCGAAATCGGAAAGATTGCTTTGACGCAAGAGCTTCTTTGAATTCGACCGCAGCCATATCACTAAGCCCTCAGATTGCAATCGCTGGTCGCTGGCTCAGGCACAATGTTTACAAGGAAATCATCACCGTGCGAGGAATTGGGAAACAGGACAACGCACAGATTCAGCGCGATCAGGGCACGATAAGGACTCGTCACTCATGGAGGATGATCAGCATCGATGTACAAAAGACTCCGCAAAGTGTCTGATACGTCCTACAGTATCATCGCACGGTCAACGAGGCGCGTCCACAGAAGCTGCCCTTGCGACATTGCTGTGTTAGCCAGCCAATCGGAAGCTTGCTGGCTGGAAGGCTGTCTAAAACAAAGTATTTGTCGAAGAATGTCGGATGGGACTTATCGATATCGGACCGGAAGCGGTGGCACACGACGACATAGTTCCAAATAGTACTCGAGCTCTCTTTCAAGATCAAGCACGATATCTACCTGAAAAGATTGAGATTACGAGAAAATTCATGTCGAGCTTACCTCAGGCTTCCATACGCTGGCTTTGTACGGTAATTCAGAGATCTAGAACGATATCGACCTGCTACGCATCAGCGAGAGTGCACACGCGAGGGCACAACAGGCGACACTCACTTTCCTCAGCTCTCCCTCCACATGTTTCCGCAACAAGCGGAGAAACTCCAACAACACAGGAAACCCGTCCCGCCGACACGACTCGCAGTCGCCGATCTCGCGGACTGCGACGACGAGCAGCTCTCCCGCGTCAGCGAGTTGTGTGTCGAACGGCAGTAACGGCGCCTTCAGCAGCCGCTCGCCCAGCCAGTCGAGCGTCACGGCGAACCAGCGCGTCGCCGGGGCGAGCGTTTTGCCGGCAAATGTCCAGTGCCCCATGCGCGGACAGAGCGCGGGGTGGTTCCAGTTGGTGCAGTCGGCGCCGGGGACAGATTCTGAGGGAAGCCAGAGGAGGGAGGTTGTTGCGTTGGCAGCGAGGGAAGCGCAGGTTGCGTGGTACGTAAGGAGCGAATGATAGGTCGAGGAAGGGAGGTGGGCGAGTAGAGGCGAGCTTGTGAGAGCGGTTGGTGGATTGGAGCTGGAAAGAGGCTGATTGCGACTGCTTTCTGGGGGCAGAGTGACGAACTCGCGGAGCGGGAGTCGAAGGGACGCCCAGGCCGCTTCTCGAGCGATGTCATGCCAACGCAGTCCACATGCGACAACAAAAACACCGACAACGTCAGCATTGGTTGTTGAGGACAAATGTTCGCGGAGCAGACGTTTGCACAGCGGTGTAGCGGAGTCCACTTGGTACTTCGAGACCAGGGCTTCCGGAACGAGACGGAGGTCGTCCAGGGGATACAACGAGCGGTCTTCTCCCTCCGGAAACAACGACGCGTGCGGGTAGATAAAGCGCAGCGCCTTGTCAAGAATGGCCGCCCGCTCGGACATATAGACAACAGGCAATGTCTCGTTTCCGTCAGTCGCCACAGCGGGCCCAGGCTGCGCCAGCGAGAACATGTCCGCGAAGACGGGAGAAGCGAGCGCCAGCACCGCCTTGTGTACGTAAAAGTCGGTCGGCGCCGGGGCGTCGCTGCTGCGGAGGACGACGTCGGGCCTAGGTGCGGTTTCGTTCGGCGGAGCGGGGGCGAAAGGGTGGGCGGCGTAAGTGGTCATGGGCGGCAAGAGCAAAGACCGCGGTGGTCGTGACCGCGTTACCGCCGCCTTACGTCATCTTTTTTTCCCCTCTTGACGACCACGACGATGTCGGACCAAGTGCAGCTTTCTTGCAGAGGAGGTTGGGTGAGTCTGCAGGCTGCGTGGCCGCTGCGACCCTTCTCTCCGCTGCCGCCACCGAGACTTTCGCGGGCTTGGCGACCCAGTGGCCTTCACGCAGTAGCACGCCGCGGCACTACGGGGGTAGGATAGAGGAGTCCGAAAGGAGTGCGGAGGAGTTCGAGACATGGCATAGGCACGGCTTACGGTGCGTTCCCCCTCCAAACTCGGCGCCATGAGAGCTGAAGCGCTGACCTTCATCGCATGGCAGTCACGACGCAGGATGGTGGTGTAGTCGAATTCGAGTCGAAACAGGCCGCGAGGAGCTCTCGCGACGGAAGCATGCCAGGCATCATGAATCGTCATCAGCGCAGGGCGGCAGAGACGGCACCAGCCATGCGTGCATGCCAGGAGCAAGAGGTGTTAGGAATCAGGATCGGCGCTGCAAACTGCGGCAGGAGCTGTCCAGATTCAGTGTGAGCCTTGAAAAGTAATATCTCGATGCTAGTGTTTCCAGTGCGCACTGCGCACACTGCGGATGAACCTAGCGTTGCTGAGGGACACGCCCGGGCCCCGGCTTCCGCCACACGCTCCCTGCTACGAACTATCAACCAATATACCTGGACAGGGACAAACCGAGAGGGATGGCAATGCCTGCTTAATGACTATGCTGTCAATAACCACCAATACAACAAGAAAGGAGAATCTAGACATACACCTTGACATACACCTCAGCTATACTAAGCATCCTCCTCGGGCTCAGCAAATCGGCGACGCAGCGCCGCGGGCGCGACCCGGCCACGGCGCCGGAGCTCCGCCAGCGCCTCCTCCTCCGCCTTCTTGCGGAGCATCGCCGTGAAGTTGTCCTCCCCGCGGAACCGCCGCCGGCCGAGGATGCACGACGTCCCCGCGCGGGCCGGACACCGGCTCCCGCCGTCAGGCCCGGGGTTCCCGTTGACGCCCTGATTCAAGATTAGGGCCAGGAAACGAGGAGAGGAAAGGACGCACAGAATAGGTGCACCACTCGTTATAATAGTAGCACGCCGTGTCCCCACCGCGCGTGAGCGCCATCCTTGCAAGCGGCACCCCGTCTTTGTTCTTCGTCGCACAGAGGAAGACACAAGTCGATGGACTCCTGGGGCCCTCCGCGGCGACGAGCCCCGCACACTTGCTGTGCGAGATTCCCGGGAGCAGCGCGCCGTCGGACTGAGACACACTGATTAGCACACTGTAAAAGCCTAAGGACAGCGCAAAGACACACATTGCGGAACGCGCAGCTGATCTGCTCCGCGTCGATGTCGGTGCGCCTTCGGCCGGCGCACACGAGGCGGCCGACGGTGCGGTCCGCGATGTCGATGGCCTGCACGTCGTCCGCGGCGACGGCGAGCCCCGCGGGACAGTGGAAGCGCGGGCGGTAGTACGTCACGAACGCCGGCGAGGGGGCCGGCGGCGCCGGCGGAGCGGGGTCGGCGACGAGGAAGCCCGCGCTGACGCTTGCCGCGAAGAGAAGCGGGATGAGGATGGAGGAGCGCATGGATGAGGCGGCTGGGTGGATGAAGTCATCATCACCGAGCCCGGCTTTTAACGGTGGGTTTGCTGGACGCCGATCGAGGAGGACGAAAATTACGGTGGTCAGGGGCGTGCCTGTCGGACCTATTTTGCTTTATCCTATTGAATGGTCGCGTGGTGGAGCGGCGCCGCCACCGTTGCCTGAGTCGGGTGTGCGAGGCCGAGGGAAGAGGGGAAGGGTAATGGCGGCATGACATGGATTCGGGGACCACAGCGCGGAATCCTTGCTATCGAGATCGCTGAGGCTGCCATAAGTACGCACGACGAGCGGCCAACGCTTCGAAGTAGTTGCCAGTCCGAGTCCGGCCGGCCGCTGGAATCTATCGACATCGCGAATTGTCCCTCCTCCAATTAAAAATTTTCCAACAGTGAGACACGCGAGCGCCATTCTCGTTTTTGCTCCTCTCCCACCTGCAGCGCCCCCTGAAGTGGATCCACCAGCACCGCTCAAGCGGCGGCGTACACTTGGCGAGGTTTCCCAGTCGTCGGAGTCAGTCGACGGTTAACGGATAAGAGTACAGTACGCCGTACGGGCCGTGGCCCGTCACAGGCGAAAGAACCCTTGACGGAGGTCGAGACAAAGAAGGCAGTTGTCAGTGACAACTTGACTTGCATGATCTCAAGTTTTGCTCAGGATACAGCAGCCTGAGTAAGAGTGCATGATCATGAGCACAGTCCTCGTCATAATTCAGCGCGCCACGCACCCGCAGTCCTCAGGCTGGTCGCGCACCATTCCCAACGACTCGTGATTGCAATTGACGGGCAGGTCCACTCCTGTCGGGTCGCGCCTCGCGCTCTTGAAGACTACCTAGTCAACGGCGAAGAGCGCGAGTACGGAGCGGAGCAGGGAGGGGGAGGTAGCATTCGGGGTATACGTGTGCGCCGAAAGATATAGGAGAAAACGCAGACGGGTAACAAGAGAAGATAGTCCGATGGAAGAGTGGATGTAGGAATGCATGCAAAGTCCGCAAAGGAATATATGTAGTATGGGAAAGTATATGGGCTGGGGATCAGGGCGCGTTCCTGCAGCGAAGAATCGGCAAGTGGGATGCGTAATATGCATGAATGCGATGAGATCTGGGAAGGACGACGAAGGCAAGCGTAAGGGTTGCCATTGGAAGGAGTGCCGTCTTCGAAGCGGGATAGCCTACGAAATAACGCGGGCGGAAGCGATAGATAACATTCGGAAGGATGAGAAGGAGAAAATGGTGGAGAACGTGGAAGGAGTCGGTGAGGAGGAAGAGCAGCTGCTATCCAAGCGTTGAACTACTCGTGGAGGACGGTTGAAGCAACATACTCGAAAGTCGTCCTACGTCCTTGTCAGGGATTCACCATGGGCAAACATGCCGACGACTATCTTCTGCGCGTCAATAAAACGAGAAGGCAGAAGCCATAAGACGCGCCTCGGATGCCTCCCTATTCTTCAGTATCGGAGACCGGTTCTCGAAGAGCGGTAATGTATGTCTCGGTCAACAAAGCGCAAGTCGGTAAAGGCGGGCGGTGATTCGATAGACGCAGGGGGGCCCGGGTACGTTCTTGGAGGTGTTATTGAGGCACAGCGCCCACTGCAGGAAGCCAAAGGCGATATGTCGGAACGCCGTTTACCACAGACAAAACAAACGGGCTCTGCGCTGACGGTAAAAGCCAGGTAGCTGGAGCGGCGCCCACCCCATGCCTCCCCTTCCCGGCAGGAGAGCGAGCATATAGCTGCAAGGCAGTGAGTACAAACGAAAGGAAGGATGTATCGCTTTGACGCACGCTTGACCAAGTGACCATGCGTCCACCCAACTCGGTTACTACCCCCGCCCTTCCTGCGCGAGTGCGCGTCTTCGTCGAAAAACGATGCCGGGCGATAGTGGTAGTGACATGCGGGGTAAGGACATCCACAAGCAAGGCCAGACGGCCAGCCCCAAGTGTCAAGGCCGAATAGTCCAGTGTGCGGGACCGGTCAGGGAGGAGGGCTTTTCTCGGCTCGTGAGTCGTTCCCGGAAGCATATGCGTAGCTCGCTATGATCCCCGAATCGCATTAAATTTAGCGCGGTTGAGCAGGTGTGTCCAGTGCCAGCTGCTAGCTGACGGCGCCAGACGCGCGTATGTGGTCGAGCAAACAGCGAGGAAAGACGCTCCCCGCGGCAAGCAAGCTGATTGAAGTCCGAAGGCAAGAAATTTTGTGTGACGTAAGCGCCACGCCTTTGCTTCCTCCGCCATCCACCCCCTCCCTCCCTCCCGCTGCCGCTCTGATTCCGCGCTCCTTGATGGTCCCACACGCGCCAACGAAGGTCAGGATACGCCCGAGGTGCGTCTGCCCGCGCTATCTGAGCACGCTTGTTGCTGACATGGCCATTGGCAGTGCTATCCTGCAAGCGAGGCGGCTTTGCGTCAGGCAGTACGCCTGAATACTAGACAGAACGGCATGGCGCCCATAGAGAGAGAGAGAGAGAGAATGTGCCGTCTCATGGTGCCCGGGTGCGTCAACCCTCCCTCTCTTCCTCGTCGTTTTGACGGACCTTCCTGGTTAGGCCCTCCGCCAACCCATCTATCGAGAGTGGAGGGGTCTATAGCATCGCGGAGACCTGATTGCGTGCGTCGACTGAATTCTTCGCCGTCCTTCCACCTGAGACTTTTGTTAGCAGATTTGTCTTTGCTCGTCGCGGCCGTATAGCGACGCTGGCGGCTATTGCTCATGTGGACGTTTGCACGGCTGCCCACTGCCCAGATGCGGCGGAATCGTTCTCTGAAACGCTCGCCCGGTGGATACTGTTGCGGGCTGTAGGTGAATGTGTTGCTGGTCCGAGTCCTCTTTGCCACTCGTATGTCGTTGTGTTCTTTTCTCTTAATGCTATCTCAAGACTTCCAGTACCGTCATAGCCCCCTCCCCATTATCCTGCTTCATCTCCGCCGCCAGCTTCCCACTCCACCTTCCTACTTCCCCACATCCCGAGCCAACTCACCCTTCGTCAACAATTCACCGACTGTGGCCGCGAGATCGGTTCCAAATACAGTCATGTCCTTTCTTCCCAAGTTTTTACTCTACATATCGCTCCGCTATGGACCGTGGGCCAACATCAATTCATTGAAATTTCAGTCTCATCCTTTACTGTCTGCTTCTTCTTTTGTGATATTGGAGAATGATCAGTTGTACACCAGGGAAGTTAAGGGCTATTTCACGGCATGAGTTGTAAATCAAGTTGGCACGAAGACAGACCTGACAATCGCCGCATTCGCATTCACTCGCCACAGTCCGAATCTGTCGGACGTGAGTTTCTCGTCTCGATGTCGCGCTGATGCTGCATCGTACTCACCGTCTTTGAGAAGCCCACTTGCGCCAATGCCTCCCGCCACATAGTTTCCTTGCCCGGAGCCATCTTCAGCCAGAGCTCGAAGGCACCCGCGACCGCGGCGACGGCCGTGCAGAGGGGCTGCGGCTCAAAGGACACGTAGAAAGCATCGCGCGGCGTGGTATACAGCTCGAGCTGGATCGCGTGAAGCCGATTTGTGGGCGGGATCGTGCGGACGAGGGTCGCTAGCAGATCAAGGCGGTGCTGCCGGAACGGAAACTTCGGAAAGGCGAGGTCGAGGAAGGTCAGATGCGGAAACTTTGCGAGGTCGAGGCCGCCGGCGATGAGATCGCCTTCCGGGTCAAATATCTGCAGAGACATCAGCCGGGAAGGGGTTGCGGAGCGAATATATCGTACCTCGACACGGAAATGAAATTCACGAATATTATTGTTAACGTTCCGGTTCTGCAAGACATTCCAGAGGACAGCGGAGTAGTTGATGCTCGAGACCGAGAGCGTCGTGAGATTTTCCAGCGTGAAGGGGAGCAATTCAAGCATCTTGCGCGGGAACATGGGATGCATCATGTGTGGAAGAGAAAGGGACAGCAGGTGGATGCTAGTCTTGGCGGTGGTCTGCGGTTGCGCGGTAGGTGATTCCTCCGGCCAGTTGCACATCCAGGCCAGATGCCTGATATTAGGGGAGCATATCGACCAGGCGCGGAAGAAGTCGCGTTCACTCGCAAAGGCGCCGCTGCACTTGATGGTCACCGTGTGCAGCGTCGGGAGGGAGAGCAGGTCGCGCAGGCCAACAATGGCCATTCGGGAGAACGGGCCGCCCGCGTAGAGGAAAGTCAGGCGCGTGAGGTTGGCACATGATACGCGGCCCCGCAGCGTCCAGCCCAGGAGGGGCAGCATACCCTGCAACTCGGCACTTCCCGCGGCGTTGTGTGGCCCGTCGACGATCAGGTGACGGATGTGGGGCAGGAGCCGTGTGCTTTGGGGAGATACCAGCCTCGCGATACGCGGAAACCAGTCTTTTTCGTCCGCATGGAAGCGAAGGGTAGAGAAAAGGCGGGTTTGGGCTGGGTGGACCCAGGACCGGGCGACGAGTGTGCATGAGCGGAGACTCATCAGTAAAAGTGCACAAAAGTCTTTCAGGTCTTTCTGGTCTTTGGGCAAGACCAAAAAGATCTGAAAGACCTGAAAGACCCAAAAGACACTGGGTCTTATTCCAGCAGCGTCCCAGTCTTGGAAAAGACCTAAGGTCTTTCTCAAAGATTATGAAAGACCACAATAAAGACCTGCTTTAAGACCTCCAAAGACTCCTAAAGATGCAATGTAAAGAGTAAATAGCAGCAGTAAATTCAATATAGCTAATACAATTTGGTTATTCAACTATGCTTATCCTACATTCCATAGCAGACAGCTGCGGGCCGGCAGGAGGTTTTGACCGCCTAACACGAGCCCTCTGGCCAGCCTGGCCGGAATCTCCTCTGACGACTCGGCGCCGTCTGGATCCCACCGAGCGCGAGGACGTTGGCTTGGCCGCTTGGGTGCAGAATGTAGTGAACGTGAGCGGCGCGGGAGTGGAGATGCTTTCGATGCTGCGGGTTGAATTGGGAAGGGACGGTGGCGGCGGGAGGCAGGAGGCATTGTGGCGGCCACCATTGGTTCCGCGAAGACCGCA